AAGAAAAAAAGGGATGTTACGTTTTTCCGAGTAAATTCTCTTCATAAGAATCTTCCTCCGATTTCAAATGTCATTGTAATCTGGCCGTTCTCGAAATTTGCGTTTACTTTTCGTTACGTTTACCGACATATTAAATAGCGATTAATTTTCATTGAGTACTTACTTAAATGTACGTTAGATTTTAGTAAGTATTCTATTACCTCAGTCTCCTATGTCCAACAAATAAAAATTCAACAAATAAAAGTTCAATTCCTAATTTTGGATAAAACATAAAACTTGTCAGTGTATATTATATAATATGTATGTACATCGCATCTCAATTACACCAAAGTATTTTGTTATTAAAGTTTTACGCTGCGTCCTACGTGGACATTATGACCGGTTTTGACTTACCGTTTTACGTATGACGCGCGCGTTAAGCGTGGAATGCGATCCGACCTACGCTCACTGGATTTTTTTTTCTTTACTATGATCTTAATATATTAATACTTTGTTGAGCTAGCCGGCAGCGTCAATAGGTGCATAATAACGCACTGTTCTTAAATATTTTTCCTTAACACGAACATAAGCAGTGACTGAGACAAATTTTAGTTTTATTTTTGGTCTAAGTCAGAAATCATAAACAAAAAAAAAACAAAGGTAAAATGCAAGTACATAGCTAGAAACTAAACTAAGGTCTCACAGAAGACAGATGTGAATTGGGACTATACTGGCCATTGATCCTCTTCTGGTGCCACAAATGTCTGTAATATATATTAATGTATTGTCCGTATTTTTTATTTACAAGAGAATGTCGCGAGTCTGTTCACTTGATCTTACGTATGACTCCGCTAATATCCATATATTTGCATGTAGACGCGTCCTCAACCTGTAAAATTAGATCTCCAAAAACGAAAACTTCTAACTCACTTCGGAATTGAAATTCACTTTGCCACAGGTGAAACACTCGTTCGCCATTTATTTTAAGTCATTTATGTTATTTAGCATAACCGCATTCATATATAAACAAATTTCACATAAGTAAACGAAAATATGGAAATTATAACACTCACGGCGAAGCAAAGTTAATAGTAATATTTTTTTTGATTATGTAACGATTACAAGTACTTTACTGCCCTTATCATTATGTCTTTGTTCTACCTAGGGTTAGCTGGTAGAGAATGCAATATCTCTCGCCTTTGTACAATTTTTGTGCAATAAAGATTAAATAAATAAAATAAAGTGTAACACATTCAACCGGCCCGAGAGGGCCGCGTAAAAGGAGTGTTGGAATTGTATTTGGCCATTAATGCCATTATCTGCGACTTGATACTGAACCACTGTTGCATCAGCGGTGTAGCCCCGCAGGACGAGATGAGGGTTCTCCCCACCCTCCGTGGTTGAGAAATGACGGAACGACAGACTAAGTCCGTAGCTGGAGGCATCCCGGCATCCTTGATGCTTACTAGAGGAGAGGGGATTGCTAACAGCGCTGCCAGGGTCACGGAGGTATGCGCAAGCGTTCCCCGCATTGGGTGCCACATGCAGGAGATTTTAGTCGGTGCGATTCCGACGTAGCCCTTACCCACGCGAGGGCTATGTGTACACGCAGCTATGTGTAGGCATTTCATCCACGTCAACAAAAAAGGGCGTATCTCACCGCCTCCAGTCACCGATTAATATAGTTCACGCCACGACAGTTTCTGTATCAAACCGCGACGGCCAGTAGGTGACACACATCCCGCTTAAGATACCATATGTCTAATATATCCGTGACACGTATCCTACTAACACGGAGATACGTATTACACGTTCGTGGATTCTGGCTAGCTCACGAATTCTACATTCGAAAAAGCTCTAATAGTCTACGGACTGAAAGCAAAAGCACCAGTCAAAATAACTTGTCCTGAGTGGGCTACGTGCATATGACGCCCAGCTTCAAGTCGTCCCTCTGTTTGCCTGTCTCATGTATGCTTAAATCTTTAAAACTACGCAACGTATCCTGATGCGGTCAATAGTTAAGGTCAAGTTATCTTTTTTAGTACATAGAGTGATTTAAGAGGAAGGTTTATATGTATAATACATTGTAACCGTGCGAAGCCGGGGCGGGTCGCTAGTATTCTATAGACTTACTTTGACCCTAACAAACGTATGTTTCCAAAATTATGTTTGTTCATGGGTAACGTAGCTTTGCTCGAGGTCATTTTCCTGTAGTTATAAATTATAATTTTTATCGCAATTTCAATTAACAATCATGTAACCGGTTCAATACTGTATAGGTAGTCGGAAAAATAAAGGTCAACGCACGCGCGATGCGAAATTAACATTTGGAATTAATGCATAATTTTGCACGATTAAAATTCATTTCTTTATATCAAACTTAATTTATAATGTTTACAAATATAGTTCTGTGATATAAATAACAGATTATCTAACATAACAACTAGCCGAAGCCTCATTGTGCTCAATGCTTGCTGCATTTCTCTTGCATTCATTTATCTATTCCTTTGTTGGAAATTATTGGTAATGTATAAATTGCACAGGATCATATCGTATTTTAAGTCAAAAAATTATTATCAATCACTTTAATACTTAGCCTCGTTTAAGATCATAATGACTGTTTAATACTACCAGAAGTAGTTGTTTTTTTATAATAAACGGGTGACTTGTATTTAAAAGCTACGAAGTTATCAAGACAGCGTGGTTATATTGTGATAAATTATGATGAATGGTTCTTGACCCTGCGATCGCCATATCTACCCTCTCGTTGTACTCCGAACGATATATATGTACATATATGCGTCTTAATAATATGATTACTCGTGTGTACATTATACGTAAATCAAATTATAATGTTACCAGGTGAGTGGTAAAGCTCGATGCCATCTTTAAGCGATTTTTGTTTTACTTTTTCGAAGAACAAGATAATCAATAGTGGACTCTTACGTTTAGTGAACCTTTCCTCTCGTAGTGCATTTCCTAGTTTTAAAATAATTTGGACAACCTATGACATTCAATAAAGATAAAAAACACCTTGAAATATTTACTTCAAAATTGCGTTATCTGGAAAGTTATCAATTAATTCAATGAAATACAAAAATAGCATACACTATACTATATAGTATACTACATACTATACTATACAGTAATATATACCTATTTTACGATAACAAATAATAAATCAATGATTGTCAGGAAAAACCGTAATGCGCGGCATTACGGTTTTTATAATTATAAATAATTTCTCTAGATAAAATATGATCTCGAATGAGGTTTATCACATTTTATTTATACCATAATACAAGCTTTAACGCAAGTGTTACTTTAATAAATAAAGGGATGACTTTTCAGTTAGAAATATATTTTTGTTTATTCAGTTTTGATTCCATTCCATTCCAAGTTTTGTTAATGTCGAGTTGTCTCGTCTAAGTCATAGCATTCATATACACATCCTAACTTTATCCTTTAAAAACTTGACGTTTCACATATAACGCAGTTGTGCATTCTCTGATGGATTTATTAATAAAACCTATATTTAAACAATTCCCTTGTGTTGGTCCAAGTGTAGCACATGCACATTTGTTTCGGTTTATTTAAGTCGTACAACAACCTTTGCAATGAAAGAACATTTATACGAGTGTTAAGGTACATTAAGTATTTAAACATCAAACATGTCCAACTGGGACGTCGAAATTTAATCGAATTGGGGTTTCGAATTCAACTGGATAGCAGTTGGAATGTAGTATGAGAAAACGAAAATTCAACATTTTCCATACACACTTTATAACGCTATTAGATTTTATATTGCATGAAACTTATAAATACAAGTTGAATAAAGACAAACGACCAGATTCAGAACAAATTTGTATATGAAAAGCGTTAAAATGCTCGTACCCTATAGGCATCGAAGATAAGAACTGCTTCGCTGCAGTTAAGTAATTGCAACAAAGAATCACGATAGCTTTTATAAAACTTTCTTATTAATTTTTTTCAGTATTTAGTTAAAAGTGAGGCAAAATAATCATTTAAATTGGATGGACAATGCAATAACATTGTACTTCTAACATTGTAAAAAAAGGGTTATTCAATTTAAATTAAGAAGTTTCTATGGGTTTTGTTAAACCAAATCCATTTTAAGGAATGCTTGTTTAATGTTTCCGAAATTTGTAAAAATAATATCATTAATATTTTATTCTATTAAATTTCGTAAATTATGAACGTTATAACAATGGAATTTATGATTTTTTGTATTGTATGCATATAATCTTAGCGTTTAACTCCTCGTATACCAAAGATAAACTAGTCATGTCATGCGGTTCTGAGTACGTAAATACGTGAAAGTTGGAACGGGTTATCTCTTAACTGATAACCTGTTAAATGGCGCTTTAAAAATACGATAATTCATTTAAAAGAAAAACATTTTTTCTTTTATTTCAGCCATAAAATTTAAGTCATGGAAATTCAAAACTTACGTTAAAAAGTCTTAAATTATTATCGGTATTTAATTTACATATTTATTATTTAAATATTTAATAAAGGTGGTTAGTTATAGATCTTAAGCATAAAATTAGTTACATTCTAGCTTCAGAATTTTCATATTATTAACTTATTCTTAGATGATAGATCAGTTGACAAAATTTATGACATTTTGTTTAGCATACGTGATTTTATAATAAATAAATTGTGCATATTATATTGTATAAAAATACGTAGCAATGAAATAAAATTAATTACAGAACAAGTTTTTAATTCCATACGCATACTTATAAACGCCTGTAGTAGAGTACTGGTATATAAGTTATAAATAATCTAAATACAATGAAGAATAAATAAATTTAATTATACTGAACATGTGTTTATCTTATCATTACTTAAACTCTGAAATATTTCTGCCATAAAAAAAATTATAAAGCAATTGTACCCCATAATTGTATTAAAATACGAACAGGTGTGTTCGATAGGTGCATAATTGATTATAATTCCGAGCACACACATTGCGATTAGATAAAGTGAGAACTCACCAGTTCTGTACCGTCGAGATCCCAACAATAGTTTCGTTGCGATATTAAAAGCAGTGAAGGTCAAATCAAACAAATATTAAGCTGTTTGTAAACAGAGGCGATGACGCGAGCGTTGCACACGCGCAGTGCACATCGACCGTCTGTCAAAGTGTACACCTCCACGACCGCGCGCGAACTGATTGTAATGCTACAAAAATATTGTACGTTTCTAATTTTAACTTAAACTGGTTAACGGTGAACGCCGGCTGAATGGAGGCGTTAAATGATAAGGGTGCATCTCACGAAAAAGCTTTACAAGTGAATGTTCTACATAAGATGCTAGTAAACAAAGGGAACGTATGTAAGAATGGAATTTTTTGATCTTAAGTCCTGAGAATAAAAGATGTGTCTATGTGCGCACTGCAAGATTTACAGATAATAGCTGTTTGATTACATTATAGTTCTGGAACATAATAGCGAAGAAACGTGGAAGAGCAAAGATATAAATTTGTAATTTTAGACAGAAATGACTACTGAGTAACAGGCTTGTTTGTGGATGATCGACTCAAATGGAACTCTTAAAACTTGACAAGTGAGCGTGTGCTGTGCTGCGATAAGAAACTTAAATGGCAGTTTATACCGCCAAATGATAGACGTTCAGCTATTAGATGAGAAATCCGCGAAATTAGTCACTAAATTGTGACTACTGTTCTTAAATTCTAAAACGTTATTGCGTAGATACTAAATATTTGAACGTTTAAATATTTAATAAGTACAACAAAATTCGATTGCGTTCCAGAACTTTGTCAAATATAATTATTAGTAGTAATTGTTACAAATGTTTAGTAGTAATTAGTGCTATTAATTACGACTAATAATTTCGGTTGATCAAATACGGGCACTAAGCACGAACGATTGCTAAGTGACAAGTTTAGGCGCCGGATAAACTCCTAAAGGTGCATCAAGTGGGTTCTCATAGACGAAAATAGACTTCGCAAAAAATTCAATTAGGTTTTATTTAAGATATCTTTGAGCACTCTCGTTTTTTCAAACCAGCAAGTAGACCGGCGTAAACTGGAAGTGTAATACTTTTGCGTTACGTCTGGTAAGTGAGGTACTCTGGGCCCTTTCTTTTAAAGGCTGGTAATCACTTAATATTAGATCAACTGCGTGCCGGCTTCCCAACTTTACTAATTAAAAAAAAAACTGCAAATGTTCAGCAAATTGGCGAGCGCATATTGTAATTAAAAAAAATTAAACGATAGAGAAAAAACAGTAATGAATTAATCAACAGGAAGAATTTTCCGGTCGCATCGAGAAAAAAAAATTAAAAATTTATTAAAAAAATTTCACTAAGAAAGTCCGCCATTTTATTAATTTGACTTCAAAAACTGAATACACAGTACTGCCACCATGGTAAATAAAGGAAACGAAATAATAGTCACACTCGTATCGATTACATTTGTTTTTTTTAATTTAATGACGTCATACTCATATTGATTGTTCGATTAATATTTTTTTTAATTTAATGAGACATATGTTTAAGGCTAGGCCTTAGCGTTCTTGGTCATTTTTTTATAACCACCCAGGAATAGGAGCCCCACGTAGCACGGCTCAGTCGACCTAGTTTGGTTAGAATGGCGTCCATTAAACGTTGACCAGCCTCAGAACCTCTGTAAGTTAGAAGGTTAAAACTTAATGTAAAGCGTCAGGCGGGAGGAAGGAAGAGACCCCCCCCCCACTCCCAACAAAATGGGGGATTTCTTTATTATTAGTGAAAATTACAATCATTCATTTTTTTTCGAAAACTATACGTTTATTTTTTTTATTGCAATATCAACTCTGACATTTCATGAATATTTACCAAAAAAACTATAACTGCATATTTCTATTTACACAGATTCTTCCACAATGAATAATCTATTGCAACATTAAAGAATAAAACTATATAGAGTAATAAGTTGGAATTTTTCATATATATGTTAATATTAGCTTTTACATAAATATCTATTTGCTTAATTGCAAGCTCTCTGCGAGGAAAATAAAGGTAGTCAAATTCGGCGACACAAACTAACTTTTGATTATATCAAGGGAAGCAAAAAAAGAGTAAGGCCAAACGTCTCTGTGACATATCTAAAAGTGACGTGAATGAAAAATTCACAGCACTTTTATTTATTTAAAATAAATAAAAACAAATTCATAAGATTAAGTATAATAAATATAGTCGTCTTGTTACTATTACATTAAACATCTATTATGGATAAAGGCATACTGGTGAGGTATCTATATTAAATTGTTTTTTGAAAAACATGTAACCTTTCTTTAACCAGAACACTATTCGCTACATGAGATAATTTTTGTGATAATTAAGAGGAATGACATTTTTAAGAACAAATATTTTTTTATAGAGCATACGGGCTACAATGAATATTCGCAACAATAAAAAGGCTGATACATTGTGAAACTTAGACATGAATTGGCCTATTTCTTGAACATAATAATGATAAATAATTACTGTTTGTACTAATTAAATTATATTATATATACCAAACAAATAATTTATGAATTTACGATAATTTACAATGATGTTTAATAATACAGATGCCACATCATAGCAACCTTATTACACCAATTGGTGTAATATGCCTCAATTTCGTAGCGCAAGTGCCATTTATTTGTATAAAATATCATTGATAATTTATGCATTATATTATATTCTTATATGAGAAGATACCGAGTGATTACCACAGCCTGTGAACAATACATCTTGTGTCGTTGAAACGTTACCAACCTATACGCTATAAGATTAGTTACCTAGTTGCCTTGACTTCGAATCGATGCTGTGTTACATCTTACGACGAGCCTCACCATACAGAAGCTGCCGTGTGACCTTACCATAATGAAAAGGTTAATGCGACTCCGTTCTTTTCAAATAAATATTGAACACGACTCCTAATTTCATCGTGTTTTTCAGCGACCATAAAATTGCAAAGCATGTTTGCGTATTGTTGATAATTAACGTCTTAGGAGTCATTGCCGGTATGGTTTTAGTGATATTTCTTGTCTTATGGGCACTCGGTAAGTAAGATTTTTCGTTAATAAGTTCTATGCCAACTTTAACTTGCAGTACCTAATTTTTAATCAGAATGTGTGATGGTCTGTAAATCCGAGTACGAACGTCTGATTTGTTAATAACATACATCAAAAGTTTTCCGTGATACAAATAATTAAATAATGGCTTAAGGCTATACATGAGTTTATTCCTAACTTCTTCATGCGTGTGTTCCTTCAGAGTTCTAAGTTTTCTGTGTTCCCAGGAATCATATTACCAGAGCCTGATACGTCGCCGGTAATAAGTAACTTCATATTGAATTTGAACAACTTAGAAAACGCATCTTTTCTCATCAACCGCGCCGATTTCCTTGACGAATTTTGGAGTAGCGTCGAAATTGTCAAACCGACGTTTGTTTAGTAGGTAAATATTGAAATTGGCTTTATTTTGCTTATTAATTTGACAGGGATTTTGTATAATTATATATTATCGTGACGTTTATTAATGAATGCCTAGTTATCTATGAAGTTTATCATCATACCAACGAAGCTTTCATAAATGTCGATATTAATTTTCTGCTGAACATTAAACCAGTGCTTCCCGACAGTTCTTTAAGAGCTCAGAAGCGAATTAAATAAAAATAATCGAAGACTTAATTTCAAAAATTCAACATACGTCTAATGGTGAGTGGATAACCGATTCAAATTTATTTCAAGATTTCCACATTATATCGCGAGTTAAATAAAGAAAAAGTTAAATCGGTAATTTTAATATTAGTTTACTTTTTTAAGTGAAATAAGAGAACAAGCAAATATATTATAATAATCTATATATTATGCCACACTTTAATCTGTATTTTTAATGTAAGTTCCATTTTTTTACATGAAAGAAGAAAGCAAGCAAACTGATGATTACCTTGATAGATGTTAAGTGATTACCGCTGCCCATGGCATGTGCAAGAACTTGAATTGTAGATGCATTGCTACCTTTTAATAATGTGGGCTCCGGTTACCTCGCTTACCAGAGGAAACGCAGAAGTACATCACTTCCACTTCACGCCGGTCTTCTGTGAGACCGTGATACTACTACCGGACGACCCTGCCCATTCGTGCAAAGCCAAAAAATGCTGCGAGGCCCTACCACATTAGTTTTACACAGTTTTCTATCAATTTACAGTAGTAAATCAATAAAATCTATCTCGCAAGATTTAAAGTGTCTACCGATATATATATATATACAGGCATAACTCGTATTTACAAGATAGGCGTTTAAAAACACTGACTGTAAAAAAAAGATTATCCATTGATGTTTTTCTATACTTACTGAAGTATCTGAACAACATAGAAATTGACTTTTTTCCATAATAAGTATCTTAAAATTTAGATTTTCAGATCAAGCAACTAATGGATGACTTAATATGGAAAGAAATGAACAGGTGTGTCAACTCTACACCAGAATTATCTGGTATTATTCAAGATTTGTTCAATTTATCACTAGTGGCGATAAGTGTATGTGGTTTAGTAATAATGACCTTCGCTTGTTTTGTGAAAAAATATTAGAATGTAAAGATTTCAGAACGTGCCATCCATTTATGACGATATGAAATATACTAAGTACCTTATTGTGCTACTTTGCTTTTTTCCACAATGCACCATTGTAATAGGTACGACGTCATTTATTATAAATTTTAACTATTTCCAACTTTTTTTACATCATGGCCTTTGACGCAGTCGCTTACAAAGGAGCCTTTTTAATGTAAATTATTACCTATTAATTGCGTTAACCTCGCAAATGAAAGGACATTTTCAAAGGTTACCTACCTAGTACTTCAAGCATTAATTTGCCCTCAATTTCCTTCTTATTGCTTCAATTTAAGGAATATACCTAAAAACGAAACGTGAACATTGATCCTACTTTAACCCATGATATTTTGCTGAGCCCTAAGCCTTGCATTCGAATTCGATCATTATGAAT